AGCAATTCACTTGTCAAATGTGAATATTTTTATGCCAGTATAATTGAGTTATATAGATGCATATTAATAGGAAAGATAGATTGCAGTTGTATTAGCAACCTAAATTGAGAGCTTTAATTTGCCATTTAAAACTTACTCCTAGAGTGAACAACACCTTTTTAAAAAATATGTTTTACATTGAAATAATTAATGACTCCTGGGAAGTTGCAGAGATAGTACAGGGAGACCCTGTGGGTCCCCTTCACCCAGATTCCTCCAGTGGTTGACAACTTACCTGTAGTAGAATATCAGACCAGGATGTTGACACTGGTACAGTGTGTGCACGTAAGGCTGTGTTATTTCATCTTGGGTGTGGGTTCCTGTCACCACCAATGCAGTCAAGGTGCAGAACTGTTGCACCACCCTGAGGATCTCCCTCACACTAGCCCTGTGGGCTCAGCCATCCCTCTGCTTCCAGCAACCTTCACCCTGGATAACCATGAATTTGTTCTCCATTTCTATACATTTGTCATTTCTGGAATGTTATATAAATGAAATAAACCATTCATGACCTTCAGAGACTCTTTTTTTTTTTTGAGATGGAGTCTCACTTTGTCACCCAGGCTGGAGGGCTATGGCGCAATCTCAGCTTACTGCAACTTCTGCCTCCTGGGTTCAAGCGATTCTCCTGCCTCAGCCTCCTGAGTAGCTGGGATTACAGGTGCATGCCCCCACACCCGGCTAATTTTTATATTTTTAGTAGAGACGGGGTTTCACCAGGCTGGTTCAGGCTGGTCTCGAGCTCCTGACCTCGTGATCTGCCTTGGCTTCCCAAAGTGCTGTGATTACAGGCATGAGCCACTGCACCTGGCTTAGAGATTCTTTTTCTACTTAGCACAACACCCTTGAGATCCATCCAAGTTGTTGTATAAGTCAACAGTTTGTTCCTTTTTTGCTGCTAACTAGGATTTCATGGATGGATGTACCACAGCATGTTTTAAACCATTCATCATTGTTGGTTGGAGTTTTTTGTTGTTTACAGGTTTTTGTTATAAATAAAACTGCTTTGAACAATTATGTACAGCTTTTTTGTGGACATAAGTTTTTATTTCTCCAGATTGATGTCCAGGAGTGGGGTTGCTGGTTTTTATGGTAATTATATGCTTATTTTAAGACTGACTAACCCTTTTCCAGAGTTATGTTTTTGTTTTACATTCCCACCAGCAATGCCTGGGACATCTAGTTTTGCCATATCTGGCCGATGTTTGGTGGTATGTGTAGCGGTGCTTCCTCGTGGTTTGCACGTGCCGCTCCGTTGTGGCTGTGACGTCGAGCACGTTCTTGCTGCGTGTTTGCCATCCTCAGGACTCTAGGAAAGTGTCTCTTCATGTCTTTGGCCCATTTTCTAATGGGATTTTTTTTTTGACTATTGATATTGAGAGTTCCTTATATATTCTACGTAGGCGTCCTTTGGTCAGATACACAGCTTACAAATATTTTCTACTAGTTTGTAGTTTGTCTTTTCATCTTCTGCAAAGATCTTTACATATTCAAAGTATTTAATTTTATCAAAGTCCAATTGATTTTTTTTAATGGGTTATGCGTTTGATGTCCTGTTTAGGAACTCATCTTCCAGCCATATGCCCTGCGGATTTCTTCTTGTGGTGGCTTTTTTTTTGTCCGAAAAGTTTTACGTTGAGATCTGTGATCTATTTTGAGTTAATTACTGTATAAGATGTAAGGTTTAGGTCAAGGCTTTGGGGTTGTTGGGCTATGTATATCCAAATGCTCTAGCGTCATTTATAGTGAAGATTCTATTCTCCATAAATTACTTTGGTGAATGCATCAAAATTAGTTGCCATACTTGGATGTTGGGGGGACTCTCTCTGGGTTCTTTATTTTGTTCCATTGATCTGTGTTTCTGTTCCTTCTCCAGTATCAAACAATCTTGGTTACTGCAGCTGTCTGAAAAGTCTTATAATCTGGTGGGCTGATCTCTCCCAGTTTTTCTTCCTTTACCCCCCGCCCACTTTTTTTAGCTCTTCTAAACAACTTTTAGCTCTTTTAAACAATTTTGCCTTTCTATACACATTTTAGAATAATCTTGCCTGTATCTTTAAAGCAAATCTTCATGGGACTATGATAGTCATGAAGTAAAGACCTGTTGGCATTTATGGGTGACCAGGTTCTTCAGTTGCTAGTCTGAGATAAAAAGGGCAAGATGAAAACAGGAAATCACCACTGTCCTTTCTTGATACCCGAGGACTTGAGCTGGACTGCACTTTTCCTGCTTTTCTAGAATCATCATCATGTTAAAAAATTTAATGTTCAGCATTTTTTTGCTTTATTTAGGAAGAATAGGAAAGAGTACATCTGCTCTATCCTTCTGGAAATAAAATTCCCTTAAAGTTTTTATTCATTTTCTATTTTTTAAATTGGATCTTAAACTTTATTATAGGAATTTTCACTGCATGAAGCCATAGTGTAATGCACTGCTGCATCACCATTGTCCCCTGGAAAACTTCTCTTTAAATAACCAGACTTGTTTCATCCGTATGTCTCATTTGGATAAAGTCCTGTGTATAATTTGATTGCATTAACAAATTCAGCATTTACAAATTACAACCACAATTCCATTATCATACCATAAACTATTGAACAAGAATTTCTTAGATCAACACTTGGTGAGTCTCCCGGTTTCTGATTGTCTCACACACCTCTTCTTACAGTTGATCTGTTCTAGTCAGGATGCGAGGGCCCTTCTCTTGCATTTGTTACAGGTATCTCTCAAATCTGTTTTTATCTACAACAATTCCTTATCTTTGTTTTTTTATTTGTTGAAAAAACAGGGTTATTGGACATAGAGAATATCTGATATTCTAGATTTGTGTGAGTGCATACACAAAACAACTATATTATTAATACATTTCTTTATTTCTTGTATTTTTGTTAACTGGTAGGTGGATCTAAAGGGTTGGCCATACTCATTTTCAGTTTTCTTTTAGCTTTTCATTTTTTTGGTGAAAGAATACTACAGCAGTGCTTCTGTGTAGTCCTGTTTGTAACTGTAGGCAGATGTCTGCATGTCTGTCTTTTAGTGATGAATAGATACAGGTGCTATCAACCGATCTTCCCAGTATAACGTTCTCCACCAGGCCGGGCGCGGTGACTCACACCTGTAATCCCAGCTCTTTGGGAGGCTGTGGCGGGTGGATCACGAGGTCAAGAGATCGAGACCATCCTGGCCAACATGGTGAAAACCCGTCTCTACTAAAAATACAAAAACTTAGCTGGGCGTGGTGGCACGCACCTGTAGTCCCAGCTACTTGGAAGGCTGAGGCAGGAGAATCGCTCGAATCCGGGAAGTGGAGGTTGCAGTGAGCCGAGATTGTGCCACTGCACTCCAGCCTGGCGACAGAGCTAGACTCTGCCCCAAAAAAAAAAAAAAAAAAAAAATCTGAAACCTCAGAAGTCACCTGGATGAATTCTCACTGTGATTAAACTGTGAATTATGTTTTATACGCTGCTTTTTATTTTTTAGGAGTTTTTTAAAAGTTTGCTGTAATTTGGCTTTTTAATTATATAAAATGTATCTGATTTTAAAGTGAACAGTATAAGATATATTCAGAAGTCTTAGCATCTATTCCTGTTCCCTTCCTCCCTCTATAGGTATTATACACACATACATGCACACACAGATATATGTGCACACACACAGAAGCATTTGCATGCATACAAATACACTCACAGATAGAGGAGCACACATAGAAACGCAGATTTGCATGCCCTCACATCCCTCACACAGATATGCTTGCATGCATACATAGGTACACGTGTGCACAGATATGTTCACACACCAGTATGCACACACAGAGAAACACACAGATCCTCAGGTGCTTGTTCACAGTTATACATGCATATTATACACAGATACGCATGTACACAAACATACACGCAAGCACACACAAATACATATATACACATGCATGTGTGCACACAGATATGCTTGCACACACACAAGTTAGCCATGCATGCACACTCACATATACATGCACACACACAGATACACACATAGATACATATCCACACAAAGATGAACATGTATGTATATAGTTATACATGCATAGAGATATGTATGGACATACACAAATTCTCTCTCCTCCCTCCCTTGTTCTTAACTATAATGTATTTTTCTATATATAATGTCCAGCACCTTGCTTTCTTCATTTCACAGTCTATATCCTAGAGATCTTTCCATGTCAGTGTATCGAGGTCATCTTGTTTGCTTTACTTTCTTCTCTCTCTCTATTGCCGTATGTGCTCTGTTTTATTCAGCTAGTCCTGTTTGTTCCCCTTTGTTTCACAACAGTCTTCTGTTACTATAAATAATGCTGCAGGGAGCGGCTTTGTGTGTATGTCATTTTGTGCTTTTGCTATTCCATTGTTAGAATAGTCTCTGAGAAGTGGGATGATAGCATGGCCAGAGTAATGGATTTTCTTTATAGAATATCTTAGCACGTTTGAAACTGGATAGGCCTGTGGGCATATGGTAACAATTACCTTGGTCTTAGCATTGTAGTTGTGCTTTTATAATTGAACATTTTTTATGATGGTAAATCTGATATTTTATTAGCAAGATAATACCATACACTCTTGGATATTTTTGTGTGTTTGTTATTTTGTTATTATCAGAACATACATTGAAAGTAGAAATGATCAGTGCAGTTTTTCTAAAATAGAAGACTGATTAATGTTAAACCTAATAGGCAAGAGCAGCAAATAGGAAATGAGTGATTTAAAAGAATGTAATGGCCTACATCTTTTCATGAAACTTGTTTTGTGAATCAAGGAACATTGTGTAAAATAAAGGTTTTTAAGGATTTTTGTTCCTGGGAATATCTAGGTTGTTATTTATTTGTCCTACTGTGCCCTGGAATTACTCTTTGATGGCACTTGTAGCTCAGGAAAAACCTTCTGTAACACAATTCAAGAGTGGTAAATTTTTATTTTCTACTTCCAAGGTTCGTGTTTTATTCGAACTGATCAACTAGATGGTGAAACTGACTGGAAGCTGAAGGTGGCAGTGAGCTGCACGCAACGGCTGCCGGCTCTGGGGGTGAGCAGCATCAAGACTACTCCATCCTTTTATCTTTAGTGGTAGTTTCTAGGTTTCACACATATTTCTGTTTATACCAGCTAATTTATTTAATGCATTGAGAATTTGTTTTATAATTTCTTTATTCCTCATGAAGGTTCATTGAAGAATTATGCCAAAATAATTTCTGTGATGTCTTAGCACATAATCAGTTTTAGGTAATTGTAAATTTTCCTCGACACTTAGGTTTTCTTTCTCCTTCTGCTCACCTTCCTCCCCCTCCTTCCTCTCCTTGCCCTCCTCCCCTTCTTCTGCCTCCTCCTCTTAATGTCTTTTTTCTTTTTCAATTTATTTTATTTTTTATGTGACAGGTTGTCACTCTTTTGCCCAGACTGAAATACAATAACGTGATCATAGCTCACTGCAGCCACAAACTCCTGGGCTCAAGTGATGCTCTCTCCACAGCCTCCTGAGTAGATGGGAGTACAGGTGCACACCACCACGCCCAGTCAGTTCTTAGTTTTTTTTTTGTAGAGATGGGGGTCTTGCTATGTTGCCCAGGCTGGTCTTGAACTCCTGGCCTCAAGCAATCCTCTCACCTTGGTCTTTCAAAGTGCTGGGATTACAGGTTTGAGCCATCACACCCAGCCAGAAATTTTTATTTCTTATTTGGCTGTTTGCTCCTCTCCTTTGTGATTTTGTATTGGTGTTTGCCAATTAAAAAGTACATACATGCTCGTGTGTGTAGAATCTTTCAAATCAGTGAAACCAGATACTCACAAATGAATATCCTGTTTTAAATTTTCACCTACTTAGGCACATAAAAGTGTTTTTCTTTCTTCTATTTTCTCTCTGTACATCACATGGGCTTCATTAGCCTTCAGGTCAGGACTCTGTTTGAAAATCGTCCAAGCTGCTTCTCTGGGTCAGGCTTCTCAGTCAAAGCCAGGCAGCAAGGTGCTACTCAGATGATTTGTTCTCATGGGTTTTTAATTTTCAGTGTTCTGTGATTGTTTACTTAAATTCTCTAGGATACTATGCATAATTTATATGTTTAGAGTTATTACAACTTACATTTTTTCATGGTTAGTGAATGAGGGAAGGTAGGTTCTACTGGACCAACAGATGAGCAGATTGGAGAGGCTGGGCTGTTGACAGCTACCTTTTACCTGCTTGGTGGTGGGTAGAGTCAACCAGGCAGCTATTACGTCGTGAAGTCATATGTCAGGGAGCAGCACCTCCTCACCTGAGGATGGGGCTGGGTTGTGTGTGCATGCGGCAGTTCCTGGATCACACAGTGTGGCTTTCAAAGGAGCTGCCAAACAGTTTTCCAGAGTGGCCGTGCCATTGCCTGTCGTCACCAGCACCGGATGAGTGACCTGGTTTCTCTGTGTCCTTGCCGCCTTCAGTGTTGTCACCAGTTTTTATTGTAGTCATTCTGACGGATGTGTGCAGTGATACCCTATTGTGGTTTCAGTTTGCGTTTCTGTGATGGCTGGTTGTGTTGAACATTGTTTCGTGTGCTTGTTTGCCATCTGCTTGTCCTCTTTGGTGATGTGTCCTGTTGACAGTCTCGGAGCAAAAGCATTCTGCCTTGGTGGATAATGCTAGCTGCAGCTTGTTCAGGGAGTGCCTGTCAGGGTGAGGGAGTTCTTTATAGTCTTAGTTTGCTGAGAGGTTTTATCATGAATGGGTGTTAGATTTTTCCAAAGCTTTTCTGCATCTGTAGGGATGATCATACGGATTTTCTCCTTTATCTATTAATATGATGGTATGTGGACTGATTTCATATGTGTTACACCAGTCTTGTGTTACTGGCATAAACCTCACCTAGTAGTCATACTGCATGTCTTTTTATTATGTCACAGTATTTGATATGCTGACATTTTGTTAAGGATGTTTTGTGCTGATGTTCATGAAAGATATGGATCTGTATTGCCTTTGTTTAATGTCTTTAGTTTGATATCTAGGGGTAAGCTGGCCTTATAATAAGTTGGGAGTCTCTTTGCCTCCTGTAATTTTTAAAATAGTTGGCATAAAATTGGTATTACTTATTTTTTAAATGTTGAACAAACTCGCTTTTGGAACTGTGATCCTAGAGATTACTTTTTGGGAAAGCACTTGATTGTGAATTGAATTTCTTTGGTACAGAGTTAATCAGGTTTTCTCTTCATTGGAAATTTGTGTTTTTCAGAGAATTGGTTCATTTCATGTAAGTTGACAACATTAATGGCATAAAGTTCATAATAATCCATTATTTTTAGCCATTTTAGGATTCCTTCTTTCACTCCCAATATTGGTAGTTTGTCTCTGTTTTATCGATCATTTTAAAGAACTTGTTTTTTGTTTCATTGATTATCTTTATTGTTTGTTCATTTTCTGTGGTATTAATTTCTGCTCTTTATTTCCTTCATTCTACATAGTTTATGTATAATTTTTTTTGTTTCTTCCTCAGTAAGGTGGAAGTTAGACCTTTGATTTTATAACTTATTGTTTTCTATTTATAAACTTTCAGAGCTATAAACCTGTTTCCAAGCATTGTTTACCTATGTCACACAAATTGTGATTTATTTAGTTAACAATAGTTAATAATTTAGTTAAAAAATCATTTTCATTTAGTTAAAAATATTTTCTAATTCCTTCATGATTTCTTCTTTTCATCCCTTGATTATTTGGAAATACATTGTTATTTGCTAAATAGTTGGGGATTTTCCCAATGTCTGGTAATTTATTGTTATTTAATTATCTTATGGTCACGGAACATATTCTGTTCTATTTCAGTCCTTTTATATGTATTGAAACTTGTGATATGGCCCAGCGTATGAACTCTCTGGGTCAGTATTCCATGTGAGCTTAAAAATAATGTTTGTTCTGCTATTGTCTGGATGTTCTGTAAATGTTCATTAGGTCAAGCTAATGGAAACTTGTTTAAAAAGTTTTACTGAAGAAAACTTTTAAGATCCCATACCTTCTGTAGATTGAACGAGTTCTCCTTTTGGCTCTGTTACTTGTTTCCTTATCTCTATTGAAGCACTGTTACTGGGTTCATACACATTCACAATTATTATGTTTTCTTGAATATGCCCTTTTTCATTATTCCTGGTAATATTCTTTGTTGAGACATCTATTTTGTTCTTTACTATTATAGTAATTCCAGCTTTTTTAAAATTAGCATTTACATGGTATATCTTCCATTAGTTTTTGTTTTATGTATCTTTTTCTTTGATTTTAAAGTGTGTTTCTTAATGTAATAAAAGTAGGTACTGCTTTTTTTATTCTGAGAATTGCTGCATTTTTATTGTGTACATTTACTGTAATCATTAATGTGGTTGGGCTGAAGTCAGTCCTTTGACTCCTTAGGTTCGATTTATCCCATTTCTTTCTTTTCTTCATCTTTTGATGGTGTGTTATGTTTCCATTTAGTTACCATTGTTAGCTAATTAGCTATGTGCGTTAGTTCTGTTTTGTGTCATTATCATGTTTCCAGTGTGTTTTTAGCTTATCACAGTCTTTCTCCATGTCACTTACAGTGTAAGAGTCATGCACAGTAGATGTCCATGACTTCCTTCCCATCCTTTGTATTTGTGTCGTCTGTCTTACTTCTGCATATTATTAGCCACACAGTGCGTTACTGTTTTTGTTTTGTTTAAAGTTGTCAAGCACATTTTAAAGATAGTAAGAAATGAAAACAGTATTTTCTGTTCACCCATGTGTTTACCTGTTCTGGAACTTCTCTTTCCTGTGTGTGGATCCAAGTTTCCATTTACTGCCAATTTCCTTTAGCTCTAAGAACTTCTTTCAATGAGTCTTGTAGTGAAGTCTGCTAGAGACTTCTAGCAGAAGTCTGTCAATTTTTGTTTGTTTGAAAATTGTCTTTATTTTGCCTTTTTCTTTCTTTTTTTTTTTTTGAGACAGAGTGAGACTCTGTCACAGAGGCTTAAGTGCAGTGGCGCAATCTCGACTCACTGCAGCCTCCGCCTTCCGGGTTTAAGCAGTTCTCCTGCCTCAGCCTCCCGAGTAGCTGGGATTATAGGCACGTGCCACCACGACGCCTGGCTAAATTTTGTATTTTTTTAAAAGTAGAGACAGCGTTTCACCATATTGGCCAGGCTGGTCTTGAACTCCTGACCTCAGATGATCCGCCCACCTCGGCCTCCCAAAATCAGGGGTTACGGGTGTGAGCCATCATATATATGGGGCCTATTTTGCCTTCACTTTTGAAGGATGTCTTGAAGTTTTCATTTGACAGTCTTTTCTTTTTTATCTTTGCCTTTCAGAGCTTTTATTTCATCTTATGGCATCCATAGTCCTGAAAAGACGCTTACAGGCATTCTTAGCCTGACTTCTTTATCCTCTGTGCCTTTTTCTGTGGGTATTTTGAAAGACTTTCCTGTTCTGACTGGCTTTCAGGAATTTAAGTATGATGTGTTTTGATTTGTCTTACTTGGGTTTGTTGGGCTTCTTGTATCTGGAGTTTCATGGTTTTTATCCAGTTTCAAGATTTTCAGCCTTTATTTTTCTTATCTTTCTGCCCAAACCCCTCTGAGACATGACCAACAAAATTAGTCTAACTACTAATATCAAGTAAGTTAGTCTAACTACTCATATCAAAAAAGAGTAAGAACTTCAATGACGTGGGAATATCGAGTACTCAGATTCCCACATGCCACTGATGCTCTCTTACTCTTTTTCTCAGCCTTTTTTTTCCTTCTGTAACTCAATTTCGATAGTATCTGTTACTCTGTCATTAAATTCACTAACATTTATCTTTTTTAGTATCTAGTCTTCTGTTAAGCCCACCCAATGAATTTTGTTATTCCGAGTGTTGTAATCTCTGGATGTTCCATATGTTTCTCTCATTTTTGTTTAAATACCTTTTCTGTTCTTTCCTTCTACGTATATAGCTTCATTGGACTATTTCCATGGTTTATAAAGCTGAATTCCATGTGTGTTAACTCCTTTATCTCTGTCACTTTTGGGCATGTTTCTATTTAAATTTGTTGGCCCTCGTTATAGACCCA